GGGAGCATTATTGCCTAGACTTGGAAGTGTCAAAGCAGGGAGTGCCTGGGAAGCAGAACTCTGCTTCAGATTTGGTACTGGGAGCAGGGTTCGGCTCTGGGAGGCAGAGTTCTGAGTCAACTCAGACCCTGAGGAACAGGGCACAGCAGAGACTGACGGGGTGGGTGGAGCAGCTCTGTGACAGCTTGGCCCTACAGGATAGGCTGGAGCAGCAGTGGGGCTTGGGGATGGCAGGCCACCAAGCGGGAATGGTACAGCAATGACAAAGACTTGGAGGTAGAAGTGTGTGGTGGCCCTCAGGGCAGAACACACTCCATCTGCTACTCCTTGATGTACTCTGGCACTCTGCTTTAGTTATTTTCACCAGAAGGTAGTCGTTTATTTGTGATTTGGGCTGCTTTTCGGGGTAGGACAAGCACGGGAGGCTCCTACTCAGCCATCTTGCCCATGCCATTTATCATTAGCTTTTGTCAGTGACAGCGCGATGACTTTGTACACGTGTGTTTCCCTTGCTGGATGACGGGCTCCTTGAGGACAGTCTAATCTCTCTTACCTGGGTTGGTGCTCAATAAATGCTTTTAGAATGAAGAACTGTGTACACTAATGAACTAATTAAGCAAATGAGCATGAGCAGCCTAACAGCCCCTTGGAAGGACAGATGGCTTCTGCATGTGGTAGGAAGTGACTTGAGCAGTCACCAATAGATGTGGCGTGGTGCTCCAGTAATTTCTAAAGCCAAGCATTTATTTTTTTCCTTGCCTGTTTCAATGGAATTGACTTCTGCTATTCTTCCATGAAACATCTGAGCTATAAGAGGGATAACACAGACAACTATTAAGTAGAAATTATTGAGTAGTAAGGAACTTTCATTTGTAGCTGATTATTCAGTATCTGGAATGAAACCACACTATATCTAGAATACTCTAGAGCAGAGGTCAGCAAATATTTTTGGAAGGGACCAAATAGTTTTGGTTCTACAGGCTTTATTACAATCACCGAATGCTTGTAGCGCAAAGGTATCCACATACAATATGTAAATAATAAGGTGTGGCTGTGTTTAAATAAAACTTTATTTACAAAAGCAAGCAGTGGGACAGATTTGATCTGCATGGCCTTAGTTTGTCAGCCTCTGTTATAGAGTGCTGCATACTCTTCCATGTTCTTTTAAAACTATTATCTTTTTTTTTTTTTAACTTTTTTAAGTTTGTGGTATTTACTGAGTGTTTGTGGTACTTAATGAGTATATTCAAAATTATTATCATTAATTAAAGTGTGTTTGTTATCCTGCTTTTTCCCTACCTTTTTGGTGTGTCTAAAAAAAAGGGATGACTTTTTTTTTTGAGTGATTTTTTTCTTAATCATTTAAAAAAGTTTGTGTGGTCAGGAAGTAGGTATGCCCATAAAATGTGACCACTTGAAAGGGCAACACGGTCCTTTCCTAGATGGCAATTATCTCTGCCGTGTCAGTCCCTTCCTGCTTCTGCCCAACCTGTCCCACAGCCAGGGCCCCTCCCTCAGGACCCCAAGCCTCGTTTCCCTCCAGCCAGCCTGGCTCTGCGGCCAAGGTGACCTGCAGCTCTGTGCTCTCTCTTCTCTTCCTCTAAGTTTAGTCTTGATACAAGGGATTGAACTGAATTTGTGCTGACCGCTGTCCGAGAAATTCTGAACCTTTGCAGTTCCGTCTCTGAAGCACTGAATTCAGCCAGTAACCCACAGTCTTGAGTGACACTGCCCACTCCTTCATCTGCCCTCCCTCGGTTATCTTTGATCCAAGGTAAAGCATTGTCTGTCCACCATATTTTACTCCCCTAAGGATATCTTTTGTCATCTAGAGTGGCCCACATGAAAGTCTGGTTAGCATTTCACTTGCTTTCTTTTGAGAAGACAGTGAAGATGTACACTGCCAAACAATGCACGCGCCATGTAGGTTTTTTAAAAAGCAATAAACATTTGTTCCTATGGTTATAGCATAAGTGGGATCATGTGGAACACGCAGGGCAAGCAGGTTGATATAACATTATATCCTTTTGCTCGATATTGAAATCTTTTCCTGAGGACTCACGCAGGGTCTGGGGAGGGAATAGAGGGGTGTGCCATTGGCCCAGTGTAGCTGATTGTTGAGAATTATCATGAGGAACTTCATATAGAGTCGATCATCACATTTGCAGATTCTGTACTTGCAAACTCATCTTTTTGCTAAAAAAAGTCCTTCTAATCCCCCAAATCAAAGCCCATGGCACTTTCAGTCATTTAAGGACATGCACAGAGTCGTGAAAACTTTGAGTCATAGACATGTGTGTTCCCAGCGGAGGTGGAACAAGGTGACACTCTGCCTTCTTAGCTCTTGTACTATAACTAAATATGCTTTATAATCCCATTTTTTTTCTTTTTTGTTCTTTTTGTTGGCGATTTCATTGTTTAAAATAATCCTTTGGCGCAGTGCTGTGTGCTGTCTAATATACTAAGCAGAAGAAGGCTCTGATGTGCCTTTTGGAGAAACATAGGCTTGAGTTACAGTGCTGTTGGCCAGGAGGTCAGTGTTAATGAATCAAGGATATGGAACGAGCCGGGGTGTGGTGGTGCACACCTGTAATTCCAGCACTCTGGGAGTCTGCGACAGGAGGATCGAAATTCCAGCACTCTGGGAGTCTGGGACAGGAGGATCGAAATTCCAGCACTCTGGGAGTCTGGGACAGGAGGATCGAAAGTTCGAGCCCAGCCTGGGGAGCTCAGTGATTTAGTAAGATCCTTTCCCAAAATAAAAAAATAAAAAGGCTGTGGTTATAGCTAGCTCAGTGTGAAGGCCCTGGGTTCAATCTCCAGTACTGGAAAGCAAAACAAATAATAGTAATGATATTTATAATAATAATAAAGTACATCCAGAAAGAGGAAAAGGAAATACACCAGTCTATGTCAGGCCACTCCAGTATAAGACCCCTGCAGAAAGTATTAAAGTAGCCGGGCATGGTAACGCATGCCTGTAATCCCAGTACTCAGGAGGCTGAGGCAGGAGGAACATTGTGAGTTCAAGACCAGCCTGGGCTACAAAGTGAGCTCAAGGCCAGCCTGAATTGCATAGCAAGACCCTGTCTCAAAAAGACAAAAAAAAAAAAAAAAAAAAAAGAGAGAGAGAGAGAAAGTACTAAAGTAACTATAAATCCATGATGAGACTTTAGAAAAATATTTTTAAATGGCTGGATTTGTAAGCTCATAAGATGATGGACAATTAAAGAGAAAAAAATATAGTGGATGGCATTGTGAGGCTAAAAGACAAAAAAAATGTAAGGTCACGTTATTAAGACTTAAGAAATTATTAAACTCCTCCTGGCTAGTGCTTTATTATAAAGAAATAGTGCATATATTTTGTAGCTTACAAAAAGGAGCTATTAAATAATGTGACTTCCCACAGATACACACATAAAACAAGATTATTTTGTGACAAACTGACAAAGCTGTCATGACCAGATTTTCACCAGAACCTAAACAGTATAATATGTCTAAGATCCCTGGCTCAGTACCGACTAATCCAGGGTTCACAGGAATTGCAGCATCACTACTATGAATAATAAGACTTGACTGCATGTGATCACAGCCTAAGCTGCACGTGTTATCCCTGCTTCCCATACTGAAGACAAGGCCCAAGGCTCACGCAGGCGCAGGGCTCTGCTGAGCGTCTACACGAACAGGCCTTGACCTCCTCACCCAGCTGTGGTGTCCGCAGCATCCCTGCTCCCTCAGGCTTGACAGAATTAAACTTGTGCAGGGAGGCTCCGCTCCCCCTACACAACCCGCACCACTTCCATCACTGATTACTTTGCTGAAAGGGAGCCCTGGTATATTTATAAATTGCCCTGGAACTGAGCCATCAGCGAGCCCAGCATCCCTGAATGGACACCTTAATTGGTCCCAGATGGAAGGAAAAACACGAACGCACCAGTCTCTCTGCCCTGAAGCCAGATGCAGGTCATGTGGGAAATGGGCCATCTCTGCTGATGGAGGCTGTCTCCCAGAGTCCGCTGAGCAGGACAGTCCCTCTCCAAGGGTTGTTTGGGGAAAAGGACCCGAGGACCAACTCCTCTCATCCAGTGTTACAGACATGGCATAGAGATGTGAACATGGGTGGGGGAGGCCCACAGGCCGCCTCCGCCTTCGGGATCAGAGTGCACTCCCAGAAGACAGTACCTTGCGGCAGCTGAGGGGCTGACCAGGGCTGGCGCAGTGAGCAGGGGCCTTTCCAAAGCAAGGGAGGAGAATTGGTGGGATAGTGTGGAATGGACAAGTGTTCCTCCAGGTAGTTCCTGAAATACCATTTGTAAAACCCTGGGCCTGATTATCACCACTTGCGATGCTGGGCCCACAAGCAGCAGCTGCAAAGTTGCCCGCAGAAGCCTTTCTAGAAAGTTCTTCTTTCTGTTCCTGAGTATTTGGGCCTATGTCTGTTTCTTTACTTATCAGGAATATGAGTGTCTTTTCTTTAGTGCTACTAAGTGCAAATATGACAATAAAGCAGTTGCACCTCCTTGCATAAAAATTTTGCTTGTATTGTGCAAGCATAGATCTTTGACACAGTTTGCAGTTGGGAGACTGCTTCTCTTTGCAGGGACTGCCTGTGTGCACAGACTTGCAGCGAAGGGCTGTGTGTGTGGATAGTATGCCGGATCACTGGCCACAAAGCCATTTTCTCTTGATCCCTTCTTCTCATTTTTATTCCCCTGCCTCATGATATGTGACGTCAGATGCACACACACAGGAACACCCCATCACACCCGGACGCAAGTGCCAAGGGACGTGTTTACATGAATTTCATCCTTGGAGCACTTGCTCAGCTGCCTACTCCGAATAGCCGCATGCTGGAAAATGATGCTAATTAGTATGCCATTTTTTAAAAAAGGGAAAAACCCACCACCCACAACAAAATAGCCACGCACAGACCCGAAGTCCCGCCCTGACAGCCACCGTGAAGCATGGCCCTCTAATGCAGCCTTAATTCACTTTGGCAGAGAGAGCAAGCTCACCATGCTGCTGCGCGAGTCCCTGGGGAACGTGAACTGTCGCACCACCATGATCGCTCACATCTCTGCCGCGGCTGGGAACTACGCGGAAACCCTGTCCACCCTCCAGATCGCATCGAGGGTCCTACGGATGAAGAAGAAGAAGACGAAGGTAAGGGGCTGGCAGGGGTGCCAGGGGAGCCCTGCCCTGAGACTAAGTCAGTAAGGGCCAAGTTGATCTCGCTGCTCCCTGAGCACGGGGCATGTGCAAGTGTGGCTGCCCCTGCATCCACCTCGGGGTAGGGAAATGTCCCGGCTGACTAAGTCCCTTCCTTGCGGCTGCTGCTGTTGCTGATCAACTGGCCTCAGCCCCGGCAGGGAGCACCTGATGCACTTTACACAGTGCGAATGGATTGCCACTTTGAGATGAAAAATGTTGGTGGGCTGGGAGACCTTTCCCCCAGCCCGCCTGGGTTGAAGGTAGCTGAAGAGAGCCTCCTTCAATGGGCTGACCACAGAGGGGTTTTTAACTCCAAGCTCACACAGCGCTGCTTTCCCTTGCATGTCGTGGGGTCACTTTTGGCTTGGTAGGTTTATGGTGTGAATTCAGTGGCTTCCAAGGGTCTCTGAGGGACACTGAGTCTGCTGATATCAGTCCGCTTGTCCCCTCTGGCAGAAGCCAGGCCTCAGTAGCATGGTAAGAGTGTCTGACAAAACCACAGTGGCTGTAGCTGCTTGAATCCAGGTCTAAATGATGATGTGTGGGGCTTTTTTGTTCTTTTTCCTTCTCTTTTATTTATTTATTTACTTTTTCCTGTTTTGGCACGGGACAGGGCTTTGCAGGCAAGGTTCTATGTCATAGGACCTTAGGAGGTCAGGTAGGGCCTGCCCCGGTCACCCCCTTTCCTGAACAGCTTCTGAGTCCCCACTAAGCAATGGGCCGTGTGCAGGGTGGCCAAACAGGATGAGGTTCAATGACCCCGCCCTTGCTGTGCTGGAGGGCTGCCTTGGGAGCGCCACCACGGTAACTGCCCTCTCGCTCACAGTACACGTCCAGCTCCTCTGGCGGAGAAAGCTCCTGTGAAGAAGGCAGAATGCGCAGGCCCACCCAGCTGAGACCCTTCCACACCAGGGCCACGGTGGAGCCCGACTTCCCCATCGCTCACCTGTCCAGCGACCCCGACTACTCCTCCAGCAGCGAGCAGTCCTGCGACACAGTCATCTACATCGGGCCCAACGGCACAGCCCTCTCCGACAAGGAGCTCACCGACAACGAGGGCCCCCCAGACTTTGTCCCCATTGTGCCGGCCCTGCAGAAGACTAGGGGTGACAGCCGGCCTGTGGAGGCAGGAGAGGCTGCGGCCAGCAAGTCCGAAAGGGACTGCTTGAAGTGCAACACGTTTGCCGAGCTGCAGGAGAGACTGGACTGCATCGACGGCAGCGAAGAGCCCAGTAAGTTCCCTTTTGAAGAGCTGCCTGTCCAGTTCGGGGCAGAACAGGCGAGCAGAGGCCCGCGGTTAAGCCAGGCAGCCGGGGCTCATCCGCTCTCCGAGTCGGATAAGGAAGACAATGGGTCAGATGGCCAGCTGACTGACCCGGACGGCTCGGACCCCCCGGCCTCCAAGGCACAGCGGGACCGCTCCCCAGGGCCTGCCACGGCCCGCAGCAGCAGCCCTGCCCCGGCCTCACCCCGGAGCATCCCTGGCAGCAGCAGCCAGCACAGTGCGTCCCAGCTCGTGCAGAGCCCCAGCCTCCAGAGCAGCCGCGAGAGCCTCAACTCCTGTGGCTTTGTGGAAGGCAAGCCCAGGCCCATGGGCTCCCCGCGGCTGGGCATCGCCAGCCTGTCCAAGACCTCTGAGTACAAGCCCCCCAGCTCGCCTTCGCAGAGGTGCAAAGTCTACACCCAGAAGGGGGTCCTGCCGTCCTCCGCCCAGCTGCCAGCCCTGAGCAAGGACTCCGGCATGGTCTCCAGTGAGTCCTTGCTGCAGCCTGAGGTCCGTACCCCACCAGTGGGAATGAGCCCCCAGGTTTTAAAGAAATCCATGTCTGTAGGGAGTGAGGGCTTTGCGGAGAACCCCGCCGAGGACGGGCGCCAGGCATCTCCTCCAGACTCCAAGAAGGAGATCCTGAGCACCACGATGGTGACCGTGCAGCAGCCCCTGGAGCTGAACGGCGAGGACGAGCTGGTGTTCACACTGGTGGAGGAGCTGACCATCAGCGGAGTCCTGGACAGCGGCCGCCCCACCAGCATCATCAGCTTCAACAGCGACTGCTCTGTGCAGGCCTTGGCCTCAGGCTCCCGGCCCGTCAGCATCATCAGCAGCATCAGCGAGGACCTCGAGTGCTACTCCAACATGGCGCCTGTCTCGGAGGTGAGCATCACGCAGTTCCTGCCTCTCCCGAAGCTAAGCCTGGAGGAGAAGGCCCGGGAGTCTGGCAGCAGACGCTCCTCCATCAGCTCCTGGCTGAGCGAGATGAGCGCGGGCAGTGACGGTGAGCAGTCGTGCCACAGTTTCATAGCCCAGACATGCTTCGGGCACGGGGAGGCCATGGCAGACCCCCCAGCCTCGGAGTTCGTCAGCAGCATCCAGAACACCACTGTCGTGTGCAGAGAGAAGCCCAAGGCGGGCCCCGACAACCTGCTCATCCTGTCTGATGTGGCCGACGATCCCTTCAACAAGGCCACTCCTATCAAAGGCTGCAAAATATCGACCCTGGGCAAGGCCATGGTCACGATCTCCAACACGGCCAATCTGAGCGGTTGCGAGGGGTACATCCCCATGAAGACCAACATCACGGTGTACCCCTGCATTGCCATGAGCCCCCGCAATGTGCAAGAGCCTGAGGCACCCACCGCCACCCCCAAAACGGCCCCCAAAGCCACACAGTCCCAGGAAAGTAAGGAAGCTGGTACGAAGAAGGAGATGAAATTTGAGGACCCCTGGCTAAAGCGTGAAGAAGAAGTGAAAAATGAAAATGTGTATCCCAGTGAAGAAGGAGCTCGATATGACACCGCCACGGGCGCCACAAAGCCTGAGGCCACAGCAGAGCAGGAAGCAGAGAGGAACCCCAGCCCGGGCGACAGGCTCAGCAGCAGCAGCGGGGAGGTGTCTGCCTCCCCTGTGACCGACAACTTCCGGAGGGTTGCAGATGGCTGTGAGATGGCACTGCCTGGCTTGGGCGCTCAGAGCCCCGTGCATTCCAACAAAAGCCTGAAGTCCAGCAGTCTCCCGAGGGCGTTCCAGAAGGCCGGGAGGCACGAGGAGCCCGACAGCCTCTTCTGCCACTGTGCGGCCGACTCCAATGGCTTTGGAGCCCAGCCCTCCAAGGCAGCCCTGGAGAGGAAGGTGGCTTCACCCAAGCACTGTGTCCTTGCCCGGCCTAAAGGGACTCCACCTCTGCCCCCTGTCCGCAAGTCCAGCCTGGACCAGAAGAACCGGGCCAGCCCGCAGCACAGTGCCGGCACCAGCAGCCCCTTGAACCAGCCAACCACTTTCTTGGCCAGCTTCCCCGATGAGCCAGGCAGCAAGACGAAGGATGTTAGCAGCAGCAGCAAGCTCTTCAGTGCCAAGCTGGAGCAGCTGGCCAGCAGGACCAACTCCCTCGGCAGGGCAACAGTCAGCCACTACGAGTGCCTGTCGCTGGAGAGGGCTGAGAGCCTGTCCTCCATGAGTGCGCGGATGCATGCAGGCAAGGACAGCACCATGCCCCGCACGGGACGGAGTCTGGGCCGCAGCGCAGGGGCCTCGCCACCCAGCTGTGGTACCTCCCAGTCCGCAGGGGCCTCGCCCAAGGCCAGCCAGTCCAAGATCTCAGCAGTGAGCAAGCTGCTCCTGGCCAGCCCCAAGGCACGCAGCCTGTCCACCTCCACCACCAAGACCCTCAGCTTCTCCACCAAGTCTCTGCCGCAGTCGGTGGGCCAGAGCTCCAACCTGCCGCCCAGTGGGAAGCACATGTCCTGGTCCACCCAGTCGCTCAGCAGGAACCGCAGCTCGGGCCTGGTGTCCAAGCTGCCACTGCGTGCAGTGAACGGGCGCATCTCAGAGCTGCTGCAGGGCACTGCGAATGCGCAGGGTTCACAGGCTGAGGAGCGCGGGGAGGACCGGCCAGCAGCCACCACGCACCTGCTGCCCTCACCCTACAGCAAGATCACCCCGCCGAGGAGGCCACACCGCTGCAGCAGCGGCCACGGCAGCGACAACAGCAGCGTGCTGAGCGGGGAGCTGCCGCCAGCCATGGGCAAGACCGCCCTGTTCTACCACAGCGGTGGCAGCAGCGGTTACGAGAGCATGATGCGGGACAGCGAGGCCACGGGCAGCGCGTCCTCGGCACAGGACTCCATGAGCGAGAACAGCAGCTCAGTGGGCGGAAGGTGCCGGAGCCTCAAAACCCCGAAGAAAAGGTCCAATTCAGGTAGGTGTGGGGGCTGCCGGGAGGAGATATGTACCCTGGGCGGGTGTGAGGGAACATCCAGCCCCAGGAGGAGTCAGGTCTGGTCTGCCTCCTCAGTAGCCTGCCACACTGCAGGCTGTAGCTGGGGACACAGTGCCAGGTCAAAAGGTTGGGGACTGGCATAGCCAGGAGCTTGCTCCACATCAGAGGGGGCTTTGTCATCTCCAGAAAGGTCCTGTTGAGACACATGTGCTCCTGAGTTTGTGTAGACGCTCCTCACTTGTTCAGCGGAGTTTGAGGCGCACATGGCAGGAAGATGATGGACAAGGAGAAGAGGCCTGAGGTGCCCGTGGGGTAGGCGAGGGCATAGTGTGGAAGCAGAGGCGGGGGCCGGAGACAGGAAAAAGGCTCCAAAACAGTGCAAGCCTCTTAAGGATTTTGTCCAGCATCATTTCTGTTCAACAACTTCTAAACAAATTGTCCTTCGCTTCTTGGCCTTTTGGCTAAGATCAAATGTAAACAGTTGTCCCTGCTCCTTCTTCAGCCCAAGCATTCTTTTTTTTGTTGTTTTTTTATGAATCAAAATCTTAGCCAAGCCCCATGTGCACTTCTCTGCCTTGGTTGAAGGCAGGGTGACGGGGTCCTGTCCTCCTGGCCTGTCCTCCTCCACGCTTCTGCGGTGCTCAGGGCTCTCTAAGAACACTCAGAGCTCCAGCCCTGAGAATATCAGGGCCACCAGCATACTTGAGATTAAAAGATACAGTGGTGCTCAGCAGTGGGGCCTCCCCGCCCTACCATCCCAGCAACCTCTGCAGTCCCTGCCCACCGGGGGTTTCCTGTCAATTGTGGAGCTGCTTTTGCATTTCCCACCATTCCTGAACACGAGCTCTGGAGTGTTCCAGCCCTGATACAAGGGCAACGGTCAATGCACATCATTAACCATTCATCCTCCTCAAATCAAGGAAACCAACCTTCAGGGACACTACAGCTGTGCATTTTACATCCCGGATGTCACGCTGTAGACAGCCCCATCTACCCACCCCATCACAGGTCCCAAACGTGGCTGTGAGGAGGTCACACTCGGCATGTTCCGGACCCATCATGGCTGTCAGCCCCTGATGTCTTTCTCTTGGCAGTGCGTTTCAGTCTCCGACACACCGGGCTGTGCCCGGCTCACCCCTAGTCTCAGCAGCAGGCCATGGAGCAGAAGCTCACATGGGACAAGAGTGACAGGCTTCTCAGTATCACACAACCGCTGCCGTGTCCTGTGGTCAGGGCCAAGGCTCTGGAATGTGATATTAGTTGTTACAAGTTAGTACAGCGTTTATTCAGCCAGAGTCTTTGTGAGAAAAGAAATATCTGCTGGCTTTCCCAGGATTTGTCTAGTGACCTTGTCATAGCAGCCTACCAGTGGAGATGACATTTGGTGCATGGGCGTGTGTGTCAGTGTTACAGAGCTGTTGCAGCCTCTAATTTAGCACCTTGAATCTACCAATCTGTTTTGTTCTTTACTATCTTTTGCTCTCTTTTTGAGACTTTTCATGTATTGGCTTGGCTGTTACAATGAATAAAGAGGAAGAAATAATATGTGAAATAATTCTCGGAGAGCAGGCAGCAGGCTCCGCCCATGTCCTTGCTCGAGGCTGAATCCTTTCATGGCTGTAGTCTCTAGTGTCTCTTTGGAGGCTGGGCTGTCAGAGGAGGATGGTGTGAAATAAAAATGCCAGGGCAGGTGCTAGAGAGGGACTTAGGAGGGAGCACGGAGAGCTGTAGACCTCTGCGATCAGCTGCCACAGATCCAAGGCCCTGTGATGGATATCACGGTGGAGAAGTGCTTGTTTCAGGTTAGGCGACCTTGTCTCACTTATTTATGATTATTATTAAGAGAAATGCTGGCTGTCAGACATGATCAGCATAAATCAAAAACAACTTCTTTAAGAGAAGCCATAAAACTCTTCATAGGAAATTCCAAACTAGTTGACTAAAGTTCACAATGACTGGAAATGCTTGGATCTACGGGGGAGACAGCCAGTTATCTTTCATCTGAGATGGCTTTTTAATTTGGAAATTGTTAAATCTTTGCTTATTCCTTCAGCAAAAAGGAACTAGAATTATACTGCTGGGAAAATAACCATGTGTTCTCTGATACCTTTGTGATCATGTAACAGTAGAAGCCATCAAACATTACTGTGCTTAATTTTTCCAGCCCCCTACTTGGACTTCCATATTGGTAGAGGGTGTGCAGAATTGGCATTATTCCATTGGCTATGCCATTGTGCAGTGAGAAGACCAAGCCAGGAATCACGTGCCTAGGGATCACATGCTGTGTGACCTTCAGGAAATAACTAGCCTCTCTGGGCTTCAATTTTCTCATGTACAAGTAAAATGAAGAGTCTGGTGGTTAATGGTCACTGTCTCTCTGCTGCCCACATTTATGAGACTTTACAAGTAACACAAAAAAATATGAATGGTGATGTGACATTCTTCCTATAAGGCAACCCATTGTTAGTAGGCTTTATTTTCTGTTGTCATCTTAGTCAGTTTTCTGTTGCTATAACAAACTACCTGAGATAACCAATTTAAAAGAAAAAAGGTTTGTTTGGGCACACAGCTGAAGAGGTTCCAGCCCATGGCTGGCTGGGGGTGCCGCTACTTTGGGCCTGTGGGGAGGCAGTCCATCATGGCAGGGAGCCCTGCTCACCTCGTGGCTGCCAGGTGACAAAAGGAAAGAAAGAGGATGACTCCCACTGTCCCTTTCAAGAACAGCCCAGTGACCCAAGGTCTCCCTCTAGGCCCCACCTCTGAAAGGCTTCTCCCAGGGCACCAATCTGGGGACCAGGCCTGTCACACATTGCTCAGGCTTCTCATGCGCTCTTAGTGCTGGTAGTATAGAGGGTTCAGGTGCTTCAGGGAGGGGGAACAGCATAAAAGACAGGGCAATGGTAGGATGTTCATAATTTAACTGGAGAGAAAGGGTACAACAGAGAACAACAAACTAAAGCAGGCTGCTCTGTGCTGAGCGGGCAGGGAAGACTGCATAGAGAACTTCCAGACAAAGGCAGGAACTCACAAGTTGGAGCAACTGAAAACTTCAGGATTGGGGCAGGTCTTGAAGGATGCTCACATCTACACATGCAGAAGGGATGGAGGGCACGGGAGCCTGTGGTGGTGATGGAGCCCAGGCTTGGGGCAGCAAGGCCAGATGTACAGCCTATGAAGAGCTTTATGGCTTCTCTTAAAGAAGTTGTTTTTGACTGGTCATTCAAAAAGTGGGGTTCTCCATATGAGCATAAAGAGAACCCACAAAGTATAACCTAGGTGAAGCTGTTCCTTACCATCTGGGAACTACTGTAGGAGTATACATTTTCCCACATTGTCCTGTGCAGTTATTAGAAGAATATGTGGCACAGAGTTGTAGCTGCCAATGGGGAGTCATTGTAAGTTCTTGATCAAGGGTAATGGGTTAGACATTGCAGGTTACTTTGATCAATGGATTTTCATTGATCCTTCTGTGCTGCCTAGCCAGCCCCTTTGTGTTCAGTGATTTGAAATTATCTAAAGCCTAGAGCTATGAATTAGAATGATGACAACTATCCCAGGCAGAGAGCATGCATCTGTCCTGGCTGGAATGCATGTAAATTGCTCAGAGGATGTAAATTGTGACGTGTAGTGCATGCCACGGTCTCAGCCAAACCCCAGTTCTGACATTGCCATGTGCCTATGAGTCCCACATTACTTACTACATGAATTCTCCCCAGACCCTCTTTTTCTAAAAGCTGGCTCATATTTCTTGTCCATGTATTTTCATATCTTGTCCTGCTGGTTGGTGATACTTGCTTGAAATGTTAAGTCTAGTCTCCTGTCATTCTAAGCACTAAAGACCCCACCTTCCCTCCTCTCGGTGTTGCGTAAACCTTTCTGACCAACGGTCCATCTTGCGCTCGTGATTTCTGCCTGTAGTTAACGGAGCTCCTGGGACGAAGTTCAGGACACGGTGCTGAGCGTGTGACTAATCACCCTCACCAGGGCCAGGAGCACAGCGGTTGGCTCTGCTGTTCATTTGGTTCTCAGGTGCATGCTCAGCTTGGGTTTTCATGAATACCAGAAACACACTGGCCATGAGCTTTCATGGAAACGGGAGGAAGGCGCACTGTTTGCCGGTAGCTTTGAGTTTCCAGAGTGTTCTTAAGAAAATCAGTGATAAAAGTAAATTAAAAAAAAAGAAAGAGGGGCTGGGGATTTAGCTCAGTGGCACAGCGCCTGCCTGGCAAGCGCGAGGTCTTGAGTTCAATTCCTGGTACCGGGAAAAAAAATTTTAAAAATTTAAAAATTTAAAAAAGGAAGGAAAATCAGTGTGATGAGGAAGGGTTCAGAATGAAAGAAACATGAAGGAAGCTCCTGAGAGTGGGTCCTTCGGGGGCAGAGAAGGCGACAGTGTGGTCCTGGGTGCAGGGCTGAGAGGAAGTCCAGGCTCTACCTAGGGGGAACAGGGTGCCCCCAGGGCGGGACACCTGCCTTCTCCTCTGCAGCCTGGGGGCAGTGGATTTGTCAGTTAAGCCCTACAACAGGCAGTATGGTCACTGGGGAGATGTGGGGCTGGCGTCTTGTGTATCAGTAGAATCACATGCACTCGTTCATCTTCTTAGTCCGTTTCTCCCAATGTGCCTGATGTCTGTGGTTCCTCTCCATGACAGTGCTTTTCCACTCACTGCCTTCCCAGTGCCTGCACCTCAAGCCAGCAAGTGGGTGACAGGGGAAAGTTAATGTGGGCGCTTCCCAGGGTGGCGTCTGGACATGACAGAGCAAATTCCCCCACCAGGGAGTGTCGTGAGGCTTTAGCACTCCCAATGCCCGGATTTCCTGACATTGGACCTCAAAGTCTGCATCTTTAGAGTCACAGTGGGGATTCTGTTGGAATCGGTGATGTCAAAGACAGAAGGCAACAAGGTAGACTTTGCAGCTGGGTCATTGGTGCTGCAGATGGGCATGGTGGCCCAGGGAACTGCCTGACACATCCGCTG